TCCTTACCACACTCTCTCAGAGCATCCAGACTTAAAAATAACTAATTTAGAATCTTTAACAATGTTTCAGAATTCTCAAATTTTACTTTAGAAAATAACTGCTTTGAAACTGCTTTGTTGAAAGGTAACAGTATTTCCAACATATTATTTCCAACCTTATTTTAGATTCAGATATTCTTGGGACTGCTGCATAGAAGAATGTCCACAGAAAGATACTGAAAAAATGGTGATGTAAAATGCAGCCCAGAAGTCTGTCTGCAGTACAATAGGCTGTTAGAAGGAGTCTCACACAGGGACGCTTCTCTTTCTTCTTCTCTTTGTCTATACACCAGTTACTGTCTATGCCTGGAAAAGAGCTAATGATTTTAAGACTGTTTGGCTTACATCATGTTTTGTTTAAGATTTTTGTATGTCATTTTTTGCTGAAGGAGAATTCAAAAAGAAAAGTTTTTCAACCATATTCATTAAAAGCTATGACTGATGATTTGAAAACAAAACAGTGCAAGTTAAAATGAAACAAAATAGTATTTTGGGATTATGCTAGCTCACATTAACTCATTAGTTTGCTAGCGATTGAAATATGAATAATATGCTCTTATAATATGTTCTAGTTTTACTGATGCCATGAATAGTCAGTGCAATTAGACTGACTTTTATGAGGAAATTCAGTGAGGGGCGAAGTTTTCAGCATACCTCTGCCCAGGGATGGAGGTGCTGCAGGGGCAGCCCCATGTTCTGCAGGTGGGAGCTGGCTGGGCACCCTGACCTTGCCTTCAGCTCAGAGAGACCAGGGACATTCTGATGTTGTTGTCAACCATGGCTGTTTCAGTATAACTTAAACAAACAAAAATATAAAAGTATACATAGCATTTTATCTAATCTACTCCTCTTGATCCTGGAGGAGAGGGAAGCACCTTAGTAGTCAACCATTTATTCTCTACTAGAGGTTGGTAAATTTTTATTGCAAGCAGTGTGCAAATGAAACTTATGCCTCTGTGTAAAGTGGTGTGCTGAGAGTCGTCATCTCACTGCACCTGTCTTTGAACTCAGCTTCTGGGCTGGTCTTGCCTCCTCAGATTTCCTCAAAACTTGACTGTCTCCAAGAATTGGGCCTCCACCACTTCTCTGGGCAAACTGTTCCAGTGTCTCAGCATTCTTACTGTAAAAAACTTCTTCCTTATGCCAGCTTTAAATCTCCCTTCTTTTAGTTTGAAACCATTTCCCCTTGTCCTGTCACAACCCTTACCAGAACCTGGTAAAGAGTCTGTCCCCTTTCTTATAACCCCCCATCAGATACTGAAAGGCCACTGTTAGGTTCCCTGGAGATGACAGATGCAGTGCCATCCAAATGAAGAGAAATTCACATTGCTGTGGGCAGGAAACAAATTTTATGGATTTCTAGGTTTCTAAATTCCCCAATCTATGCTGACACAAGGCGTGCCATGGATCTTCTTTCACACTGCATCCATAACTCCATGTTGCTTTGCAAAGAAGAGCTTCTGGCTTTTCTGGAAAAAGTCTTTGCTTCAGCCTGTTTAAACCTCTGATCATTTTCAGTGGGTCATTCTCAGCTTACTTAACAAAAATCAGACTCTCTCCACCCCATGTGCTATGTCCACTTTATGAACTCCTTACTTTTCCTTTTCTTTACAAGTCAGAGTATTCCTCTGGAGACATCCATTCTTCCTACAATTGAAATTACATGCCAAATTCCTTTCTTACTAAAAAAGTATTCCCAAAGCACAAGTGAACCAGGCTGAAGTAAGCAAAGGTTTCAGTAGAATGTGCAATCTTCCCAAATCAGATGATGATTCAATCATAATTTTTTTTTTCCCAAAACATAGTTATTGCCCTGAGAAATGCAAAAAAGCTCTTTACCACAAAGCAGACTTCTTTCCTTATTTTAATTTTGTGGACTTTAAAAAAAATATAAATGCTAGTATAATCATTTACTCTAATGAAACAAGGCATTTCCCTTATCTTGTGAAGGACCACGGGGCACCCCAGGCTCCTTTATTTATGATATGTGACAAAACAATCAGCGCAGCAATTAAGGCATTGCTCTTGCCTTGAGTGTTGACAGCATCTATTGATGACATTGCAGCCCTCTCAGGGCATTTCACCCAGTGCAGGGCTGGGGCCTCAGCTTCTCCACTCTTGTGATGCCAAAGATGTTTAGCTGTGATCTATCACAGCTCACTAGCACTGTGCACACCTCCTTAATCACAAGACATATTCTTCTTCCCCCTCTCATCATATCCCACTGACTTGTCTTGAAAGCAAGAAAAGCCTATAGATTGATGTGAAATTAATTCAATGCCACATGATGATACTAATTGTACACTGTCTTGTACTCTGCAGCAACTAGCAGTAGCATTTGCTGTTAATGTAGCCGTAATGACACTGTGTTTGTATTAGTAGTTCATGCTTAAACAAAACATACGAGGAAAATAGATAATGAAATCTGTGGCTGGCAGTAAAACCTGACTATTATTGCTGTCACTTAGAAGGCATTTTTCATACTTCACAAAGGAAACACGTTGGTAACATGGGGTTCAGTTTCACACACTGTAGATACAATGTGTTGTAAATAATAATTCAAGGAAGAAATAACTCAGCTGAACAGAAACCATTTGGGAGAATGAGGAGGGCGGTTGAGATTGCGTTAATAATCATGTACAGGCGTACAAAGCCCATGACACTGTATATTGAAAATGACAGTTACACATCAGGCAAGCATCTACACAGCTCTGGCTCCAGGCCCACGGATCTGCTTCACTTGGAGGAGATGGGACAACCGGATGGGGCTTTAAAGTCGCCTGCTTATAGAAATAACTTAATAGCTATTCAAAAAAATGTTTCCAAAGAAGCTGAGTGTGATGTATTAGCATGCACTCTAAACTTTCACTGGACTCTAAGAGGTGAGTAGGGACAGTTTCAGACATCCAACCATCTTCCCTCTCTGCTCCTGGCATTTTCAAGGTAAACAAGCTGCCAATATCACTTTCAAATCTTCTTTCTTGTAGTATTAATTCACCTAAAATTAACACAAACTTTAGAACTTTCTTTTTCTTGAGCAGTTGCTGTATGAAAGGTGGACAAAGACAAGGTGATTTATAGTATGCCAAATTTGATCCAGGGAAAGGTTTGCCTCCTATCTTTAGTGGGATCTAAGGTTTCATGAATACGAGCATATAAGCTCATTGCTCCATATATGCATATGATACAATTTGGCAATGCCCTCATGTTAGCATAGCCTGCAACAGGAAAAATCTCAAGAAGTTCCTTACTGCTGCCCAAGCACACCAAACCTATATAGAAGCACAGAAAGGAAAGGCATTTCTGTGATGCTTAAATGACAGACTCTATTCAATCATAACAAGCTTTTTTTCATCCTAAAATGCGAAATAGGTGTATGATGTTAATTGAGAAGGAATTATGTCATATGGAATCTGGACGATCTGGACTCAATCCTGTCTTTGCTGCAGAATTCGAGTGGTTTTAGGGAGGTCATTTAACTGATTTATGTCTTCCTCTGTAAATTAAAACATATTTTTTGCCTTCTATTGCTTCTGGTTTTTGTATTAAGCTTTAATCTCTGGGAAAGATTGTCTCAAGATAGAAAGCTGAATGCAGGTGCATCATTCAATTTGGCTTTGTGGTGTAAGTATAATTGAATTAATTAATATAAGAAATATGAACCCAGAACAGGTTATGGCTGGTATAAATTTACAATTCCATGGAAAACTTGTAACGTACACACTGCTGACAACCATCCCGGTTCTGTTACATTGTGCATCTGCTTCTTCTCCCAGAGGAAGGCATTCACCGCTTGCTCAAACCATTGCGGTCATGTTCCTGTTCAAGAGCACTTCTCACACAGACAACTTGGATCTGAGCTTTTCCAAATCCACATGGCACAAAGAATCTTCTCAATTCTGCCTCTAAAGTATGGTTAAAAGCAGTAGGAATAGTCTGAACCATTGGTGAATGTAAGTTGTGTTCCCATTAGGTTTAGTTGTATGGGCTTTGCAGAGATATCCCCAAAAGCTGCTGTTATGCTGTACACTGAAGGAATCATCGGAGCATCACCCCAGCTTGTTACAGCCGCCCCCGAGCCCCACGCAGCGCCTCCCCGGCGGAACAGGGGGGAACTGCAAATCCTGCGGCAAGGAAGAAGCACTCTCCAAGGGCCCCCCTGCAGAAGCATGGCTCGGAAAGGCCAGCTGCCCGGGGGAAGTCAGGACCGGGCCAGCTCCGAACCGGGGCATTCGAGGGCAGCTTCGACTCGCCGCCCCCGGGAGGTGGCACTGTTCCTCCACGGAATCCGACCACCCGACCCGGGCCCCGCCGAAGCCTGTTTCATCTCGCTGGCACCCGCTTGCCGCCGGTTTACGGGTATGAGATTCCTCGTGCGTGAAAGGCACATTTGTGAAGGACCTGCGGGTAACAATGTTGCTCAGTGCTGCAGCGCAGCTGGGAGCCTGGTGAACTGACAGGATCCAGTGCGTACGCGTGGATGTATATACGCTTACACAGACACAGATGTATACGAGCATAAAACACGCATATCAATACTCAAGATAGAGGATCTATAATTCCAGGTAGAGAGAAGCATTAAGCCGCGATGCCATTTATATTTTGCTTTTGTGTTGGCACAGGTTTGGGGACAGACGCGTGCTGAATGCTGTGCGTACACTCGCACACGCGGTGGCCGCGGTCCCCTTCCACCTTCCCTCAGCAGCGGACAGCTGCGAGAGTCGGGCTCCGCTGTCGGAGCGCTGCCGGGTGCTGCATCCCTAGAGGCCCGTGGAGCATCTCCGACGGGGCGCTCGGCCCCGCCGCTTTTCCCCTCCGCGATCTCTCGCTCCGACGCCTTCCCAAAACCTCTTCCATTCAAATACCCCGCACTCAGGAGGCAGAAGTCCCTCGCACGCACCGGCTCCGTAGCATCCCGCCGCCGGCGGAATTCCGTTCCGCAGCCCGACGGCGGCACTCACCTGATGATGACGTACATGACCAAGAAGTTGCCGAAAAGCCCCACGACGCACACTACAGAGTAGAGGGCCATGATGGCGATAGCCGTAACCACAGAGGGGCCGCCGCCGCCCGCAGGAGCGCATGGCCCGCCGCCCGCGCTGCCGTTGGCACCGCCGCAAGGCTCAGAGCGGTTCCAGCCCGCCGTGTTGTTACCCCAGGAGCCTGGCGGCGCGGCCACACAAGGAGGCACGGCGGGGCGGCAGGCGGCGGCGGCAGAGCCGTTGGCTCCGAAGGGGACCTCCAGGGCGCCGGCGAGGAGCGGCGCGGAGCCGTTGCCCAGGAGGTAGGCGACGGCCATGGTACGCGGCGGCGTCAGAACGGCCACCGGCTCCTCGCGTCCGACTGCGAGCGACGCGCAGCGCAGGCGGTGCCGGGGAGGCGGCGGCTCCCACCCGCCCCGACGGCGCGCCCGGGCGCTAGCTGCAGGCACGTGTGTGGCGGGCGGGGCGGTAGGAAGGGTTGTGACGGCGGGGAAGACGCGGGCGGGGGGAGGTGGAGCTTCACTCCCCTCTGAGGTCTTCATGAAGTGTCAAGTGAAGCATTTCCTGGGGGTAGGGGTGCGCGGCTGTAGCGGAGTCTGCTTTGCTGTGCTTCTCGGGCTGGGTAGCGCTTAAAGCGTTTGCTTCCCCAGGGAAGTGGGGGTAGGGAGAAATGTCTGGCAGTGTTGCCTGAGTGGAGCAGGGGGTCAGCGTGCAGCTGATTAATGTGGTGAGTCAAGGATATTGACCAGACTGTGCCCTCCCTGATTCTGTGGCTTGGGGAAAGGGTAGCTGGCACTAAAAGTAAAACGTGGGAAACTGTGTGGTAGCACACTGGACAGAATTGTGCTTTGGAAATGATTTGGATCTCCTGTATCCTCACAGTTTTCACAGGTATTTCCACTCCAGACCTACAAGAGCCCTCTCCCCTAGATGTTGGTGTGATTGTTGTCAGATGTGATAGCATTCAAAAAAGAAAGATATGGACACCAGTTTTCTTAACTGGAAGGCAATGTCCATACACTGTACCAGGTGCTTGACTTGCCTGCTGCTTATTTGCACTCTTCTATGTGTAGAGAGACATTGCTGGTAGGGTGGCTGATCACTAATTACCAGGACCCGTTTCTTTTACTGCTTCATCAATGAAATCAGAAGGGTTCCTTGATAAGGCAGGAGAAATACCAGTGATCAGGAAGCAGATGGAGTGGCAGTGATTGCCCCTGTTGCCTCATCACAGACTTGTACTCAATATCTCTGCTTACCACAGGCAGAGCATGTCCTGCTATTTCAGGAGTGATAATGGCAGAAGTGAAGAAGAAGAGATGAGTTGCAAACTGCCAGAAAGATGCAAAAATACAGGCAATTTAGATCAAGGATTTCCTGAGCTTTTGTGTCAGAAGTAATGGCAGCCAGTGCTGGTTAGGCTGAGTAACAGTAGAAGACCACACACTCTTCTAAAGTATCTCTGATCTTTAGCATTGAGGTGGGAAAACAGTGAAAACTAAAATGGAGTGTCACTGGACTTTGAGATGGATGTAGATTTGAGTAATAGATGTTCATATTTTTAAAGCTACGTGTTTTTGAATCTCACCAAGATACAATGGATTAGAGGAAGAAAATCGAGAAAGGCTGTTAACAGGTTCTTTGTGTAGATAGCACATACTACTTGGTGGCTAGAGAGAGTATTTTCAGCATTTATTGATGGGAGAGCTATTTAGCATCATATTCAGAAAAAGAAGAAAGGTTCAGAATTGAAAACATTTGTGGACAGGCAGAAATGAAAGTACTCGGAGACTTCTCATGGTGAAATTCACTGCCTCTTGAAGTGTAGCATATTCTGTCATACACAGAACAGGAGGAACAGGGCTTTAAAACTGGACCATCCCCAAAGAATTTTATCTCTGGGTACTGTGCATAATGCAGGAGCCTCTCTCACTTCTTCCCCTTTGTTCCACCAAAGCCATCAAAATAGTTTAATATAAGCCTAGCCACAGTCAATGTTTGGCCTTTTGAATACACCTGTGCATGGCTGTGAAAGGAGTAGGGCAGATGGGAACCAAAAATCAAGGCTGCTACAGCTTTTTTTGATGTATCCTGTGTTGAACTCAGCTTTGCACCATTTTAGCTATCAGAAGGACCTTTAATGGATTAAAAATCAATGTCTTCAAAAAGTTTTAAAAAAGGATGCCCAGGTAAATCTAGTGTTATATACAAGGCTTTATTATTAAAGATAGAAGAATTATTTTTCCTATTAAATCAACCTTCTGGCAGATGAAAACTCAGGCTCAGAGAGAATTGGCAATAAGCCTTGGGAGTTGTGCCTATTTAAGATAGGCCTCATTAAGTGACATTTCAGAGGTAAGAGAATGATAGTAAATGCAGCTCTTTCCAATGTTATTACAGATGTTATTGCTCAAGGACAAAGGCAGCATGCAATAAATCTTCGCAATGATACTTTCAGATGGTGAAGGACATTTTAAGTATAGTAATGTGTAAGACTCTTTCTACAGATAACTTCAGATCATGGAGGGCTGCATTGTGAAGATTCTGCTGAAAATAAGTTTGCATAGTTCCAGATCAGTAATCCTGTGGGTAGTAATATGGCACATGTAGAAAAGGGAAATACAGAGCTTTAAGATATGTACGTCTTAAATGGTTGCCTTAACATCAGGCTGGGGCCAGAATCACAGCTTCCAACACAAAACAGATTTTTGTATGTCTCTTTTTTTAGCCTTAGTACTAGGACAGATAAACTCTCAAGGCTATAATTAAAAATTGATGGGCTCAAACTTTGAGAAAATCTCAAGAATTGAAGAGAATTTTAGGGTGAAAACAGTAAACATACAGTCTAGTTAGCAAATAGGACTGAGAGATCGACTCTGCCCTTTATAAAGATAGCCTATATACTAGTAGCGTAGCAGTGGGACTTGTTTCTTATATGATCAGGCAAAGAAGGAGTCTAGATGCAGGCTGTCCTCTTCTTTAGCCTTGCTGGTGGAAGTATTCCCTCTCCTTGCAGAATGTTAGCCAAGAGCCTTTACTCATCCACATATCCCAGCAGAGCAAGGAGAAGTTGTTGTCAGTTGATCTCTCTTCATCTGGCTGTGAACTGCATTAAAGATAGATCCTCCTATCACCTGATAAAGACATTCTCTAGGTGATACAGTCGTAGTGTTTTGGTAGCAGTTCTGTGAAGGCTGTTTTAAATCAATGTAGCATACTAACAGGCTGTGTGACTTGGCTTCAGCTTTGGCTGGTGTTTGAGCAGAGCCTGTTTATGTGTAGAACAGACTAAATGTGGTCCTCATCTCTTAGTTCCTTATTTACATAACTTTGAACTATGCAAAATTTGTGCTGGAATTCTACCATGTGCAAATAATAGCATAAGGTGATGGACAAAAGAAAGCTAAGCTCTTACATCTCCTAGTTGTGTCAGAGTAGTCAGCTCTACTCATCATGCAATGCAAGGAATGTGTGACATGGACAATGCAATTTAAAATTTATGGGTAAGCCCTTTAATTAATATTATTTCAATGGCCAGAAGGGGCTACTCTGGCAATATTAGATATTATTTTATCTGACATAGCTCAGATAACTTCTCTGTTTTTTGTTTTTTTTTTTTAAGCTATTTACCCAAAGTTGTACTAATAGAGATCAGCATGTCTCCATCTCCTTAGTTTCAGTTGCACTGTTTTATACAAAACCTTTTTTCCTCCCTGAAGAAATCCAAACCACCATTGCTCAGTGCATAAAGATCTTAGGTATGATTTTTATATAGATACTGTATAAACACTGCAAATACACATAATTTAGAATTGTACATTTCAACTCTTTTTTTACATAACTTCAGGATTTGTAAAAATATTTAACATTGGCCTATATTCTCTTGAAAATTCTGCTTCTTATCTTTAGAGAAAGAAAATAGTTAAATGGACTTCGGCAGCAGGTCCATAAGAGATAGCCAGCAGACGAGTTGAGGGCAAATGTAAGGAGGCTGAAGTGGGGAGGTAGTAAAGAAGGAAATATCCAGGACATAAGAGACTTGGGTCGTGTGCGTTATTAAAGGCAAGATGGACAGGTGCTAATGGAGTGAAAGAAAAACAACAACTTGGTTTAAGTGTTCAGTACAAGCAAATGTCAGAGGGGTAAGGTAAATCGGTAGTCTGACATAGCATTATTTAGGATCACTCAGCTTCTGTTGTCACTCTGTGCTCCTTGTGGATGTGCAGATGAGCTTTTATCTTATAACATAAGAGGTGGTTTTGGTAATCTAAATATTAAATATTGTTCTGAGATGCAAGAAGGACAGCATTAGGTATGTGATGAAACAATAGGCTTTTGGTAAGAGAAGAGATTCATATAGTCAATTTTTAAAGAGCAATGCAATTTTAGGAAATCCTCAGAATAGGATAGTAAAGTACTTGTTATGGGACTCATAGGTTCCACTAAGAGTTATGAATTAACTAGAAGACTCTTAAGAGCCATAATAAATTGTTCTGTAACAGATATAACTTCTGAATCACAGTTTAATGCCATTATGGTAGTACTGAAAGTTGAGCTTGATGTAATACTTAGCAATTTCTATGCATTATTTATTTAATGAAATGAAATAATGCTTTATTGCAGAATGAGGAGATGAATTTGTTTATTGATGTGGAAGAACACTAGTGAAATTGCTATAGAATGGGCATAGTGATGCCAATTTTTTTTTTCTCCATGTCATTTTATTTTCAGAAACAAATTCATTTCAGAAATAAAACAAAGGAAAGGCATTGACTATATATATACATATATATATATATGTATATATATATAGTGTGCTTTCCCATGTTTGTTATTTTTTTGGAACAGTTAAAAGCTACAGAATTCAAAATCTTGTAAGCTCTGCTTATTTTCAGATAAGAAAATGCTCTGAATTTGGTCCTGTGTGAAGTGTGAGCTTATAATTCCTTGTGTAAAACCTACGTCTGGTATTTTCTTTCCTGAAAAACCAGTTTTATAAATCTTAACGTTTAATTGTCTTTACCTGCTTACATTTCTGAAACTTTTTGCCTGAGCAGCCTTTATGGATCATTTTCAGGACTGCATGACCTATTCCATCCTTCAGGTTCCTGTATCCTTTCAAATCCTGTCTTGTTTCTTGTTTCTTCTGCAGCAATTATAAGAAGTTCTAAGAAAAAGTACATTTAATCTACCATGGGGAAATCTTGTGCTCAATGTAACTCTACTGATAGAATTGCTATAATTCCCTTTCCAATATGAAAACTCTTTATTTAATACTAGTAATAGTAAGGGAGTAATAATAAGGTAGCTTAAATAA